AGGTCAAAGGAGATGATCGCAAGGTTGCTTCGAGGCTTGGACTCTGTTATTCTGATCTGCACCATCACCCTTGCTGCTACCCCGCGCAGAGCCAGTTTCCGTTCAGTAAAACACAGTCTTCAGCTCCTAAATTTAGTCTTTAACTGATGGGGGTAACCCCGTGAGCCCAAGTAAAGAATGATGCTTAAGAAAAAATGAGGCAAAGCAGGGGCCAGGCTTTGCTAGACAGAGGTTTACCTGCAAAGATTTCCATTTTCTTTAGATTTTTCAACTGCCTCTATTAACATCTAAAACGCTAAAAGACATACAAACTGACTTATGGCAGTTATCTCCTCACCCTCTCCTCCACCCCCCAGAAGAAGTAAATTACATGAGAAGTATGGGCATTTTCCAGAGATGCTAATAATTAGAGTTCCTGTGTAGAAAAGTACATGGGAGCTGTGATCATCTTTAGATCGTGTAGTAATGAGTTCTAAAGTCTTAGGCCCCATGTGAGAAGCACCCTGGCTCAGGGCTTGTGTACACGACAAAATTAGATAGACTCAATTTAGGTCAACCTACTGCCACCACAGTCATTCAAGCAGGTGTTGGTATCTACATTACCCTCCTTCATTGGTGGAGTGCATCCTCACCAGGAATCGCCACCAACTGAAGTGGGGCATTGTGGGGCACTGACAGCCATGCAGGACTCACAGCTGGAGCCCCCCACCCACCCTGAGGTTACAGCCCCAGCTGTGAACCCAGCCCACTCAATTTCACAGCAGGAAGCCTACCAGCTTGAAATAGACCAGGGGTTCTCATACTAGAGGTCAGGACCCCTCAGGGGGTCATGAGGTTATTACATGGGGGGTGGTGAGCTGTCAACCTCCACCCCAAACCCTGCTTGCCTCCAGCATTTATAATGGTGTTAAATATATTAATAAGTGTGTTTAATTTATTGGGGGGGTCACACTCAGTCTTGCTGTGTGAAAGGGGTCACCAGTAAAAAAGTTTGAGACCCACTGAAATAGACATTCTTGCTATTGGCTCTGGCTCAGAGCAGAGGCACCCAGAGCTCTAGGGGAGCTAGTAGCCCAGGCAACCAGGCTCGCAGCTGGGATCTCCGCACACAGCTGAGAGCCTGGGTGCTCAGCGCTGGGCAGCCTAGCACCAGGCTCGCAGCCCGGGCTGTCACCCCAAAGTTAGGGGGTGGCTCCAGCTGTGAGCGTCGCCGGGCTCAAGGTCACAGCACAGAGCCTACCAGTAGCAAAACTGACATTCTTGTCAATTCACAGGTCTAACTGTGAATCCCACGCTGCTGACAGAGTGACAGCTGAAGTAAGTAGTGCAGCATCTACAAGGATACTGCATCACCCTAACTACACTGGCATAAGTGCTACACCTCACGTGGAAGTGTAGCAGGCCACTTACTTTGGCAGAAGCAGCATTCTAGTGTAGCCACTGCCATATTAGATCAATGTAAGCTGCCTTAGGTCATCCTAATTCTGTAATGTAGACCAAGCCTCAGGCACACATAAGTTTGTGCCTCCTGGCAGATCTTTCCATTGTTTCTGAAAAGCAGAGCTGTTGAGAATGGGCTACTCAGTCCTTCAATTCCCAGGTCCTCCAACTGAGGGCCTTGAAAATAAGGATGGAGGGTAAGATTTAATGGGTGCTCTGAAATCCATATTTAGACATCTAAATAACTGGCCTGATTTTCAAAAATGCTGAATGCGCGGCAGCTCTCAGACTCCAAATGGGCATGCCAAGTGGGAAAGAGGACATGTTCAAAAAAGAATAACTATATCCCCTATATGGACAGAGTAATTTGGTTAAATATTATCTGTGCTGATACTAGTAACCAACCCTCCACAGGAACACACAACATAACCCAAAGCCATAACTAGAGAACATGTCAGCACTGAGAATCAGACCAGGGTACCTTGCTCAAAATCCTTTTGCACACCCTTTTGCAAAAGAAGCCCTCATCTCACTGAAGTTTTGGTGATATTTAGTTTCTAGCATCAAGCTGAGTTACATAAGCAGCACAGAGATTCCAGTTGTCAATGTTCAGCACAATTTCCTTGATGTCTTCCTTCTCCCACCACGGTGCAAATCAAAGATGACACATGGGGACAAGAGGAAGTTGCAGTTCCAATCCTAGCTCTGATATCCACTCTGTTGTCTTGGACAACCACCTCTGTACCTTAGCTTCACCATCTATAACACAAGGGTAGCATGCCGCCCAGGGGAACATGAGTTAATAAATGTTTGCAGAACACTTCAGTGCTAAGGATTAACTGAAAACCATATTTGATGTCCCTTGGTAGCTTATGAGGGCTTTTGTTGACCAGATACGCTGCTCCTACACCTTATCCCAACATGCTCATGCTGTCCATTTCCATGTATCTTGTCTGGGGACAGTAGGATGGCAAGGAGGCCATAAACAATGAAGATGCTCTGCAATGTATTTTGAAAGCAAATAATTCGGGCAGATGTAAAGAAGAAAAAAAGGCCTTTAGAGATTGCATCAATAAAAGAAGAGCTTAATATTTGTAATTTATTGTTTATTTTCATATACAAAAAGATAAACTTGAAATAGTTCTTTCTAGTTTTTTTCCTCCTATTTGTTGGGGTGTAGCTGCTTCCCACAGGGCAAACACTACATTCATACTGGTTTATTCGGGCACCCAGTGCAAAGCTGAAGCAGCAAAACCCCAACTTGGCAGATCTAATTTCAATCTTGAGACTCATTTCTAAAATACCACAGTAAAAAGGAACAAAGATCCACTGCAAATGTATGAACTATGATACAATTTTCTTTCCAAAACATCTTCATTTCATAACTGCAATACAATGGATGTCTGCTTTAGGCCATTTTATATGTGTATATATCTATCTATCTATCGATAGAGATAGATAGATACATATAATATATATAAAAAATCAGCACACTTCAATCCAAAAGGGGTTACAGCAACGAGCTTAACTCCGTATACTTTTTTTTTTTAACAGGATACTTCAGTATAACTTTTGTTAACTCAGTAGTACAAGCTAGCTCTGGTCTACATTTTTAATAGCTACAAGAGTGAAATATAACCTACAACATTTACATTTCACATATCCTGGTAGACAAACAGTATTTTGAGCCAAGGACCAAAAGAATCTTTAAAAATTATTTCACCATCTGATAGAGCTTCCTGTGATTTACACTCAGTTTACTTCTGCAGTCTTCTAAATCATTTACTTAATCTCATTGTCAGTTTATTAAATCATTCAAACGAAATCCTGGAGAAACAGGTTACTGCAAACTCTTATGTATATTCTATATATATACAAGTTAAGTAACACAGCGTAATAAGACTTAGCTATCCATCCTAAAACTGATATACACATTTTTCACTAAGCTAGACAAGTCTTAGGATTCTTTATTTTTTTTTTTATTAACGCACAAATTTAGAAGTAGCTGGTAAAACTGATAATATGACA